TTGATTTTTTTGTTGGAGATTTTACCCAAATATCCCTATTTTTTAGCTATAAAAGGAGGCTTTCTCTTCACTTTCAACTCACTCACGCCATTCTCCCCATCTTCTCTTTTATATTTTCTCTCTTCACAAAACATAGTGAAGTTTTCATTTTCAATGACCTTTGATATTTTTTTCTGGTAGTATTTACTCCAGATAAAATACTTTTATTTCTTTCAGAAAAGGGCAACACTATTTAAAGTTGCATTTCTTTATTTCGAGTGTACGAAATTTGAAAATTTATATTAACCTTGGGAGCAACGTCCATTATTAAGAATTACACTAGTCCAAGTGAAATTGCTTCTAAGACAGTGACTACAAGGCACAGTAAAATTACTTAGTCTTCATTTATTTACCTTATTTATTTTTTCAGTCATTACTAATTTTTTATTTTGCAGTAAGCTATTTTTCAACAGGTTCTTGGTGCAAAAGTAAGCGGTCGGACTCTTTTCTGTCCATAAATGAATTCACTTGCTTTTGTTGACTTGGTAAAAAAATGCAGTGAGCTTGGTGTGTTATTGTTGGACTGCTGGGTTTGTGTATAAGGAAAGGAATACAGATGCCCATAGATTGGCTCAAGAGGGGATAGGCCTGAGAACTCAATCGCTAGTGTTGTGGTCTGAAAATGGGTAGGCAGATGCTAAAGGAAGTCACAATAGAGTTGTTTATTAGAATCGAAGGGAGCTACAGTCCATCGAAGAAAGCTAAGCTTCCTAAAAATCAGAGTGAAGAGAGGCATCGAAGAAAGCTAAGCTTCCTAAAAATCAGAGTGAAGAGAGGCATAGTTTGTTCGTTAATCCCTTAAAGGTCAGCTGGGTGAGGCAATTGGTGTTTGCTAATGATGTGATAACAGTGCGGTTATGGTAACAATTAGGATCAGGAATTCAGGTGCCCTTCTAAAGGGATATGACACTCTTTTTCCTCCAGAGATTTTTTAACGTAGTCCATATCAATGTCCTAGTTTATATGCTTATCTTAATTAATATCACACAATCTTTTTATTTTAAAAAAATATTTCAAAAGATATTACAATATTTGGTGCTTACGATGAGCACTCCAATAAGAAGTTCATGCTATATTAAAAAATATTTTATTATAAGAATCATAAAGCATATAATATATAAAAAATCATGTTACTTTGAAAAATTTATCTTTACTATAAATACTCCCAACATATAATAACACTAGTAGAAAAGGGCAATTATTAGTATAATTATATAAATTTTATCTATTCATATAAATTAAAGAGTAATAATAATGGATCAATATACATAAATGGGTAATTATATGTAATTACGTCTAAATTCAATTTACAAATATTTTTTTTAAAATAAACCCAATTTAAATATAGGTGAATATCCATTGGTAGTGTATAATTTTATGCAATTAATTTAAACTTATTCTTGATAAATATCATCTAATTTGCCAATGGTAGTAAATGCATCAAATATTAATCCATAAAACATTAAATTAATCTAAAACATAATTTTCAATACTGACTAATATGTACCATTTTAATCCTAAATAGGTACCAAGTAACTTAAGTTCCGTTTTGGTCAAAAATACATGTTGATTGAAACAGAATTCTAATATTTTCAATTAATTTTCAATATGGATACTAGAAATGTTTATCCAATGTAGGAGATCAAAATATAAGTACACTTACATTAATATCATCATACTTTTAACAATTAAAACAAAATTGAATAAATAAATACAAGCCAAAGCTTATAGCAGGCAGCAGTGAGCAGAGTACTAACAGATATTTCATGTAAAAAAAAACACAAGAAACTATCTAAAATACCAATTTCACCCAAGCTTTTTATCAGATCCCATTAGATTCAAATTGAACCATTTCTTCTTACCTGATTTATCCTTTCCATCCGAGTTTCCATCTTCTGCAGTAGGACTCTCGGAATCACCCGGAAGTTTGCTGCTGCTACTGTTACTTAAATTGCTGGTACTGCTCGGCGGTTTTGTTACAGAGAACGTAGAATGGATGCTATCACGCTGTTTAAGCAGCTCGTCTACCTGTATTATACATGTCAAAAACTGGAAGTCAAATCGATACGTTGCTCTAACTTCATTATTTTTAAGGTACTCTTGTCTAATGCCGATATTCGATGCATATTCATATAGGTAGGGGATGTGACCGAGCCAGACATAAACTCATCTAACATGTACATGAATCTAGTTACAGTTTTGATCATGAAGCACTTCCAGAAATAAGTGAACCCAAATGAGCAAATTATTTGTTTGGCAAAATCAAGAAGCTCGGGAGCATTTCTATAGCCATTATCAAACATTAGAATGTATATGTACAACTGTGTCTGTGTACAACCCAGTGCATTGAATGTACATATATAGAGAAAAATGTATCAGCGTATGTATGCAGTCAACTCCCTAAACTGTTCGGATTGCACAAATGCAGGAAAAACAATATCACTGCAAGATAGAGTCTAGAAACATACAGACTTCTTTTCTTGGGTGTACTGGTCTGCCACTTCTTGAAAGCGTGCCAATGCCTACAAAAAATCCCACCAGAACCATAAGATAGTGTAAAGTTCATAATTATAACAAGCCTCAAACAGAACACGGTTCAATTAATACTTTTCTGTATTCTGTTTCAAATTGGCGCAACTCATTTCTCTTTCTTAGAATCTGAGCTTCAATTTCCTTAAGCTTATGAGTGGTATCCTCATATGACTTTGCGCAAAGTGCCTCGATTGTGTAAGTTGCAGTCTTGAAAAAATTATCTCCTGAGAAAATACAGCCAAGCCAAGTCAATAACGAAAATACTCGGAAACTTACTTTTAACAAATTAACATGCAAAACAAAAAGGTCGAACCATAAACTGCGAATATGTGTGCCAGATTTTAGTTCTGAAACTTCACACGGTTGAAGACCTTCCAACCTTTTAAAGAAAGCAGATTCGGGGTCTTTAGCTATTGCTAACTGCATAACACATGAATAAATCATCATCAACAAGAAACCAGATTTCCAGCAGAGACAAGGAAGATAATGTCAGAAATGACAACTCACCGCGTTTACGGTGGAATCCATTCGGTATACTTGAAAATGTAAGAAATACATGCCAGCAGAAGTCACCTTGCCCGTCTTCTCGCTGTCTTCCTGTACACAGACAGTGAAATCATAAACAGAAAACAACTGATGTACAGAATAATGCCTAACTACATCAGGAAAAACCTGACTGCAAGTAACAAGTTATCTTTTAACTTCAGAGAAAATTACAGAGAAGGACAAACACACATAACGACGACCATAGGGGCTTTTGTAGTAAAAAGATTAGATCACCTGTATAACATCAAACAAGATAGCACGAGTTTTTGCTGAACAGCAAAAAGATTAAAATCTTGAGTGGTTGGACTAAATACCAAACAATTAAATAAAGTAACAGATCAAAACTTTTGGAAAATTTTAAGTGGTGGAAAAAATCATAAGCAAATCAGAAGCAATAGAGGACAAGAATCAAAGAGAAGTGCTTAGTACCTGTAAGGCCAAACCGTAGCCACCATTGACGTCGTGTTCAAAATAAAGTAACTGAAAATTTTACATAAGAAACACCAAGTTAATATAGGATTTTGACAGAGTACTCACTTAGAAGAAATGCACATACATAGAAATAGGGGCGGAGCCAGAAAATTTTAATTGTGGTGTCAGAATTTAGAAAATTCTGTTAGGTGTTTTTTTGAGTGGGTAAGGCAAACGATGGTTGTCAATTCCTTCAAGCGATGCAAATTATTTTTCAAGTGGTATTGATATTATTTTAAAGTGATGTTAATTTTGGTTTTTTATTTTTTATATAAAAATTAGAAGGATTTTGTGTGTGTGTGTGTGTTTTTAAAAAAAATCGGGGTGTCACTACAATGAAGGTGGCTCCACCCATGCAAGGAAACAAGCAATAAAAGAGCTTCAGAGAAGAAACTCTATAGGTTAGTGAACAGTTAAACCATAAGTTGAAAAGAAGACAATCTTTTAAAAAGTAGTTACACAGATAATACACCTTGAATTTGCTTTGTGCTGTTGAAGTTACCCTAACAACAATCCCAGACTCAGCTTGTTCATCATTTATTGTTACACCAAAGAAATGGGCACATTGCTTGTCTACCTGCGGCAAAATGCATGAGAACTTGGGAAAATATCTGGAAGAGTATGGTGCACTGGATAGAGAGGAAATACAAACCTTTCCACTAACTGATGTTCCAATAGGAAGGGGTCTGACTGTGACAGTTCCATTTAGAGCTTCCTCTAGAACATTAGCTGAGATAGTAGTCTTGATAGGGACACCAAGCTTACTTAAGACATATGTTTATGAATCAGATAAAGAAAAATAAGAGACTTAGAAGTTCCAACATTTATATTATGTCTCACCTGAATAATGCTGCAAACATTGTATTAACAGTTCCTAGATTGGACAAATCAATCTCCATATCCAAAGAATCTTCAACAGCCTTATAACATTTGTTGGAAAAAAGATAAAATATTTAGGTTTTGAAAACTTTCTGTCACAAAAAGGGAAATTATAAGCAACAGAAAGAAATATGGTAGGAGGAAAATGAATACAATATTAAGTTAACATCATCAAGGAAATTTATGAACAAAATTAGTGCCATCAATGATACATGCAGATAAATTCTTCAAATTTAAGTCAGTGATGCTAGGTTGAAAAAAATATTTGGAGGGACTAGAAAGAAAGTGGAGGAGTTGGCAACACTTTGGGAATTCAAGTTACATGGAAATAAACTAAAGTATGTAGAGATAAAAAATAACAGTTAAAAACGATGGCTTCCTAGTTTCAAGTGGTAAACCTGGAGGGGAACTTTAAAAGAAAATAAAATCCGAGATCATCACTTGGTGATCCGGAGAGATACTTATAGCGGGAAGAATTTCCATCAGCAGAGGTCTCCATGACACGTTTCAAACAATTGACCAAAGGAAGCACTTAAAAACATCTCTCTTATATCTTCCTTCTATTTCATTCTTCCCCCTCTTTCCAAGAAAGTGATCATTAACAATTGTTAAAAACCACTCAATACATTTTTAAATGCACTTGTTCTGTGTCCAATTTGGGAACAAAGAGAACTAATTGTATATAATGGAACTGCCCATGTTGATCCCATAACATGCTTTTGCGTCCAGCACAAAACTATCAGTCTTTATATGGAAGCAACTTCTATTTTCTCAATCAAAGCTCCACAAATCACAATTCTCCATGGCATTCCAAAGAAAGATAAGCACCTAGCAGTTTTATCAGATACCTGGTCTTCATGTTGAGTCTTTCCTTTTTAATAGCCAATTATTTCACACCTAAAGATAATAAGAAAAAAATTGAAAGAGTAGCCAGGCCACTCTAAAATGCCCTAGATAACCCCTTCCTCTATCTATTTTGCTTCTGCATATGGCTTTCCCAGGTTCTGTCTTTAACAATCTCAACTTTAACCAAACATTGAAGAGAATTCATCCTCAGCATCAAAAGAATCAATTTTAATTATGGTGGAGTCTAGAATTTATAATAGTCAACTAAACATGCTATGGAGGAAAAAAATCATTATTCTTCCTTGATATAAAAAGGTTCTTGGTCCATCAGAAACATTCATTCAATTTCTGTCAGTTAATAACTCCAGCTTTGTAACTGCAACCTAAAACTGATGTTCCCATCATAAGCTCTCTTTTCCCTTTTAAATTGGACCTAATTATGTACAACATATAGAAGACAACTTTGAACATAATAAAGAAGAGTAAATCAGAGAAAAAGAAAGGGAATGGAATCACCTCAAACCCTGCAGTGTCATACTGTCTTCTCTTTTCTGGGTCAGATAAAATGCTATAAGAATATGCAACTTCCTTAAAAAGCTCTGAAGCCTCAGGGTTGTTGGCATTCTTGTCAGGATGATACCTGTGAAGGGAACAAAAAAGGCAAATATGAGGGCATCGAAGTTAAAAGCAAAGCAAACCAAACAAGCATTTGATATGGCTTAACCATAATTCTTACGGATCAGCTATAGGTCTATCATTTGTATAGGTAAGAAAATACAAGTCACTACAAAACTCATCTATAAGTTTCCGTCAAATTTCACTCATTCATGTCAGTTTGTACTCAGATGGAGCACAGACACATAAACCAGAAGAAGCACTCAACTTCCAAAGGGAAACAATATAAATCCTCACTGAATTTAAGTACATGAGGAATTGCCACAGTCAAAGAAAGAAGATTTGCAGCAAGCTCAGAAACAGAAATGTTTGGTAAACACTCAGGGTCGCCTCTATTTTCATTGCCAGCAATCCCGAGACAGAATGAACTACCGAATAGTTCGAAATCCAATCTAATACTAAACTAACTATATAATTGCCAACAAAAACAAAAATATGAATTTTAAAGAAAGAAAAATATGTGCTTACTTGAGAGCGAGCTTTCGATAAGCAGTTTTGATCTCCTGATCGGAAGAATCCCTTGAAACGCACAAAACTTCATAAGGGTCTCGACGCGTAGCCGGGGCAGAAGTTCCTTCAATCTTCTTTGAACGCATCTCCTATTTTTTAACCCCACTTTTCCCTCTATCAAAAGCACTCTTTTCTTTCTTTTGTCTAAAGGCTCTCTTCAAATATGCTTATATTCCAGGAGCAGATCTATAAATCCAGAAAGAAAACAGGAAACAGTAAAAGATCATCATTTCTCAAAGAGGAAAAAATTCGAATTACGCAAAAGTATTGGATCGCTCCCTTTCAGTTCTAGGGAAATGAAAAAAAGCTCGTAAACATATGACAGAAAGAGAGTAAAGATCTGACTTACAAAAGAATATAGGGAGGAAATTGAGGGATCTAGGGTTTAAAAATTTCATATGTACGTAAAATCCCGAGTTAAAAGATGAAATTTCTCCTCCCTTTGTTTTTCTGCTCTCTTTTTTTCCTCCTTAAATTCGTCATGGAGTGGGAGGGGGGATGAGACGAGAAATTAGTCTCGTTTCTCATTAGAATTTTTATTTTTACAGACCATTAACAAGACGAGGTGTTTGTTTTCTACTTAAATTTAATATTAATTAAAATTAAATGATACCCTCATCCTATTGGAGCATTTTTCTTCCGTGTCTAAGGACGCAATTCCTAAAAATATATACGAAGATTAAAAATTTTAACTTTTTTTTTCTTCTGTTTTAAAGTAATTTAATCAAAAAGTTAGGCTTAATATCAAAGTGTATAAATTATACCGTTGCTCTTAAATATGTGCCTAAATAATTTCGTCTCATCCGGGTGTCAAACGTTATCATTTAAGTGTTTGGGCCGTCGACGACGTTAATTTTCCCGTTAAGTGACATGTGTCACAATCTTATGATCTTGAAATTTATTTTTTAAAATATTAAAAATGTTATGATATTTATAAAAAAACTAACTTTCCTTATATTATAAAATAGCTCCAAAATTCCAAATCCAAACCTTAATCCATTGCCCGCCTTTCCGCCACGACCACCGCCATCGACGTAGTCTCTACCACCCTCTTACTCATATGTCGTTGTATTTCCTTCGATTGGCCATCGAAATTGCATGGGATCGCGATTTTAGTCCTAGGGTTTGAGCGGTTTAAAATGTTGATTCGTCGTTGATAGGCCATCAATCGATCATAATTTTATGGCGCTTTTGGTCTGCTGGTGGAGGGGAGGTTGGATGGAGGCTCGTCAATGGCAAAAGGCAGCAGCCGAAATGGGTTTAGAGATTGAAATGAAGGTTTTCAAAGTTTTGGGTTTATTTCAAAATTTATGTTTAATGTTTTTTAAAAAATATATATAATTTTACTTTTTTAATTTTAAATAAAAAATTTAAAATTATCAGGTTGTGACACATGTCATTTAATGGGAAAATTAACATCGTTATCGGCCCAAGCAACTAAATGAGTAATGTTTGTAACGTTAGACACCTGGATAAGACGAAAATTAGTTTATGCACCTATTTGAAAAAATGAGTATAGTTAATATAATTTTATCTAATGACTAAGATATTCATCCTTAAACGCATCATTACCCGTAAAGTATATCATTTGTATCGAGCTACCCCTAAAGTATTTTTCGAGATATTTTATCTTTTAAAGTTTAAATCGTTATTTCGTTTAAAAAAATGCAAGGGTAAATTACATAGACACAAAATTATATATATGCTTTTGTTATGATCACCCAACTATTTCTTCATTTCAAAATCGTCACCAAACTTAATGTTTTTTTTTTCGTTTTGGTCCCATCTTTACTTTAGTTGCATTAGAACATTTAGCATAACACTGGAAAGAGTTGTCACCCGCATTGGCCTAGTCCTGGTAACTTAAGAAACTATCGACGGCTGCATTGTCACCTTAGCAAAATAATTCTACAGTTCTACTCTACCAACGTATCCTCATCAAGTATTTATTTATTTCCGCATTTCTGCATGCACATATTTTTTCCTGACATATAATAAATATGCTACTTTTTTGTCACACTGATTTAGGTCCAAGTTTTTAATTTGATTTCTCTTCTTCTTGGTCATATCAATGAAATCATCCCATATGCAAACAACTTGATGCAGTTTTTCCAAACGATACTGTTATTGCTTTTACTCTCTCTTTTGAAACCTTCATGGTTGTTGACTGTTTATATCATGGGGGTTCAACAGGGATCCATGTTACTAAACATATAATTTTTTAGATGGTATTGAAGTTCTCATAACCGCCTGTGGCGACGGTTGCGTAGTGTTGAAGCTCTGGAACGAATCGAGGATAACCTTTTCATTTTCAAAGTAGTTCTTGAAGGTGTCGGCTCCACCGAGACCACCCGAGTCATAGTTGGTGAAGTTCTTGTCTAGGTAGATGGTAAAGTTAACGTTTAGTGTTTTTCGAACGAGACTCTAGGAGTAAACGAATTTCTGTCATCGATGAATCACCGATACCGTCGAAAGCCACCTGTATTGTTCGAAAACAAGACACGTCATTGTTGAAATAAGTAAAGATTATTAACAACAACAAATGAAAAAAAAAACAAGAATGAAAAAGAAAATCGCTTACAGTAAAGGATGAGAATTGGAGAAAGGAGGTGAATAGAAAATTCCATGGAGGAAGCATTTCCTGGTATTCTATTTTCTTTTCAATTTCCCCAAGAGAAAAAGTTTGTGTGGTGTTTCAAGAGTTACAGTAAGGTGGCGATGCTGTCGTCGATAGTTTCTCAAGTTACTGGGACCGTGCCAATGTGGGTGACAACTCTTTCCGGTCTTATGCTAAAGGTTCTGATGTAGTTGAAGTCAAAAGGAGATCAAAATGAAAAAAAAAAAATTAGTGATGATTTTGAAATAAAGAAAAAGTTAAGTGACCAAAACAAAAGTATAGAAATAGTTTAGTGGCTAAAAATATGTAATTTGTCCTTGTATTTTTAACAGAGTCAACGATTAAGGACAAACGAAGTAACTATTTAAACTTCAAGGGAGCAAAATATCCTGAAAAATTTCTTTAGAAGACAACTCGGTACAAATAATATACTTTAAAGGATAATAATGATTTAAAAATATTTTTTAAAATAAAATTACGATGATTATAAAATAGTATCATCAACGTAAAATTAAAAAGACACGAGAACGAAGCTAAATCCTTGCCTCTACCGATCATGGTACTCACATTCCAGCGGTTTGGCAAATATGAAGCCAAATTTGATTCAATGCCTTCAATTGAATCCCAAGAGATACTACAATAGGGTGTTTCGTTAGAAGTGGCCGTAGTCATTGATTGATCAACTAATTAAGATTGAATTCTATAGGTATCAGAAATTTAACTTTCGATATTGCTTAAAGAATAACATCTCACCTCACTAGATCAATTTATTTTTTATTCTCGGCGTGTGTTCGATGCTTTAGAAAGGTTGTTCATATCAACAGGCAAGAAATCAATTAGAATCAAGGGAGATACCTTTTGCGGTTCTTTTTATCAAACCAAAGAGGCATGGTTTGGAAATTGTGATTAGTTCCGATTCAGTCGGGAACCATTTGGCCGTGCGTACCATTTATAACGATACAATCATGCTCGAAAAAAGAACTAATAATTGAAATTCCTTTAGAAGGTTTTATTGTACTCATCTCCGGAAACATGTTAGACACTAATGCCAAATATGGATACTTATGTCCGAAACTCAAAATAAAGACCCAGCTCCATGGTAAGCTAAATTGAGCTACGAAACGAACACATAGTTACCGAGCGTTACAATGTTGAGAAATTGTCATTACGAAGAATTAGTTGAATGACGATGAACAGCGTCGTTCTTTCGGCCAATACGCAACCGCTTTACTCGTTCCGCGAATTCCCTGTATTAAAATCCAACCAGAAAAATGATTAGATCAAATCTGTTTCTTTTTCTCCATCCCAACCAAACTGAATTCCCGGGTGATAGTAATTGCAGATGGTTAAAAGCTTACTTCCATGGAACATCTCCGACATTCTTCCAATTATCCTCAGTGTCGTCCTTGTAGAACAACAAAAACTCGGACTCGAGCTCAAACAACCTTAACCCCGAAACTGTATGTCCCCCTTGGAACCATAATCTTAACAATGTTAATAGTTTGATTTTGGTTTGGATAATAGTTAAAATCTATATAAGCTGATTTGTTTTTCAGCTCTTCAAACTGTTTCGAACTTACCAAACATATCTTCGAGTTGACATCCAAGGCCCAAGTAACCACCTTGATCAAGCATGCAAACTTTGCGACCAACCATAACTCCGTCCATGTTAACCTTTACATAAGCCCACCTCCCTTGCTCTGAACCCCTTCTGCTTCGTCATCAGGGTCTTTAGGAGCGAGCTCGGAATATCCAGCGTTCGAGCTTTCCCGATGGGATGAACTCGCCTGGCTGGGCCAACTTATCAGGCCACCATAACCAGCTTCCAAGCTTAGCACTGACTCGAGTTTAAAACATTGCAAACAACGTTTGAAAGATGGAACTGAATGTCAAACCAATGACATCACATAAAATAAATTTTTTAGCTTTGTCCAATTCATCTGTTTTTAAACTGGTTTAGAAAAGCTCTTGATTGAATGATATAGATAGTACAACAAATCATAGATTCCCAATTCAACCAGTTTTGTCGAATTCGAGAACTTTACCAAACAAGTATAGGAAAAGGAAACGAAAGGCAAACTTACAATGTGTAGATGGATGATAAGGTTGAGGTTGAAAAGTTCTGAGACTAAGACCCAGATCAATCATACCATTTTCTTCATTGTTTTGACAGTAAACTGAGTGGAGAATCGAGTTGTTTAGCAAAAACCCTGATGCATTGGAATCCATTTGATGTTTTCAATTGGTAGCAAAGGCACGTTAATTGATATGCTTTAACATGACCAGTGCTACGGTTATTTATATAGTTTCCAAAGACCCCCGAAAAACAAAATGCATTGAAGAAAAAACTAAAATATAAAATTATGAACTAATCACGATATTAAAACTAAAAATACAAATGCATCGGATTGGGGGGATATATATAACTGAAATTGCGGATCAGTAGTAGAGGGGGACCACAATTGAGCAGTCGGGGAAGACAGGAAAGGTCTCTCCATAAGCAATGATTGAAGAAAGCTTATCCTGTTCTGGTGCTGGTCTGATTCTGATACAAGCTAACATGCAAAGATATACTAAAAACTGGAAGAACAAGGGATGGCTCAAGTGATCTTAACAAAAGTTTGGTTGGATTCTGCTACCCAACAATTGCTACAATGCCTCAGCTTTTCACCTGCTTCAAAACAGGTGAGATGAATTGAAATTTTCATATATATATTATTTGTTGTCTTTTTTTTATAAAAGTAAATGCATGAACAGAAAATAGAGTGATTCCTTTTCAAAAGCACTGCTCTTGTTTTGCAGGCCGTCCATTTGCCAAGAACAGAGCTTGAGGCATGTCTTCCAAGGTAAAATCTGGTGCTGGATAAGGTTGATAGACAAGTAGCCGCTTTCAATTAACACTCCTGCTCCTCTTCAACGAGACACTAGTCTCTCGTCCCACTTCCCCTTTCCCCCAAAAGGGGTGTTTTCCGATAATTTTGAATACGACATGACAAGCACAGTAAATAAAATATGACATTTAATGATAACAGTTGAAATACAAGATACACATCTACAGTTGGATGGCATACACAAATCAACATTACAGTTCCCATGATCATAATTTTACATGAACTACAACAAAGGACCTGTTGCAAAATATTAGTACAAGTTCGGTTCTAGATTTTGAAGATCAAACTATTCATTGTTTCCTCAAATTTACTACAGTGAACATTTGTGTCCAACGCATGTTTGGACATGTACTTGGGATATATGACCCTCCGAGGATCTTCCAAATAAAAAAGATAAACATATCTATAACTGAGTTTATCATATCCAACAGTCGAACCCGAATCCGAGAAATCAATTGTTTCATTTGCAATGTCTCCACCCAATCACATAAAATAACCGACTGGCAACAAGCATATTTGATGCTGCCATACTACCAAAGGAGATCATATTTTAACACCATTGGGGGAAAATGAATGGTTACCTCCCACAAGCTTTTGTACAGATGTTTAATCATAATAACCAAGGAACAGGACAATACAAGGGTAAACTTGCTCCATCGCCTGCAGTTTGAACAAATTTTAGAAACATTAAACATGCATCACACAAATAACAACCAAATAGCCTGTTAAATTATTTTAGGGTAATTAAATTCCGAATCAACATCGAATTTCATATAGGTCTTTAGATCTCTGAACTCCTATATAATTAGGTATAACCAACATTTTAGGTAAAAAAAAATCACATTGCATTTTAGAATAGAAAATAAACAGTTTTGCCGGCCAAAAAAGTACAACGTGAAAGTGACGTAGTTCATTAATAATAGATGTTAGTAAATGTAACTACATGAAATTATGCAAGTGACATGGTTTATTAATAATAGATGAAATTAAATATTTGTGACCTAAATGAAAGTCTATGCTGATTTCAATTATCTAAAATGTAAATTTACCCTACTTTACGTCAGGAATACTTACCAATCGTCCTCCCACCAAATCATAATGTGCATAATGGGGACCGTGATGTTCTCCAAATATTTTATAGGTTGCCAAATTCTCCGGAAAAAACTTCACAGTTTCTGGTTTTATAAATAAAGGGGGGAAATATAAGTATAGATGAAAACCACAAGAGATTACGTGTATTTAACTAACCACAAAATTAACACCTACCCTCTGCAGCCTCGGGTGGGCAAATCAGATCTTGATCCCCTGCAATAGCCAGCACAGGGACGCTGCATTTATTTAGATGATCCCTGCAGGATAATTTACCACCCTATCACATAAGCTTGGTTGGTATGGTACCTGGAAATGAAAATAGATGTTATGCAAGTCAAAATATACAAGAGAATGAACGCAGAAATTTAAAAATAGAGCAACCAGAGATTATCTTCAGAAACAACTGCGGTGAGAAAATCGATAACAAAAATCTCAAGGTATAAATGAGTGTGAAGATCAAATTATTAATTTTTTCAGACATTAACAGTGTACACAGACGTTCATTACCTAGCCATTGTACCTTTGTGACAAGCAACAAAACACGCTAGACCCTTCCAAGAGAGGGGCATGCCCATAGGCGTGCTTTTTTATAAGGCAATAAGCATAAAAAAGAAGCCAGTTCGATTGAAGTTCTCTCCTCTCTCTTCTATAAATCGTACCATTATTAGTAAAATGGGGATAAAATAAAACTCTCAACTACTCAACATTTAACTATTAACAACAGACTAGAGATCATAAGGGAATCATGCATATTGGCCAACAAAATAAGAGAATTCAGTATGTTTTATAGGATACACTTTACCACTCTTTAAAGTTTATTATCATAATCATATATTAAGCTTAGTATTATTATATATAGAGATACGCAAACAAGTATACGGCACCTCCACTCAGTAAAATGCCTTTTTGCAGCTTGCATCTCAGACAATATAAGCATTCTAGTGCCTGGAAAATGCCTTACACCCTAGATAACACCATTTACAATAAGAATACACAAACTTCACATAATGTGAATTTGAAGACAACATATACCCATACTTACAGAAGTTATTTAAGACGAACTTTTCTAGCAACTCAGGATGCATCATGTCCTCCGCTGATATTAGACTATTAAGCCAACCCAAGACGTAAGGAGGACGAGATGCTAGTGGATAAGCAGCTGCCAGTAAGGATCCGAATGGAACAGCTGGGACATTAAGTGCTTGTGCAGGATCTGCCTGCAGAACCAGTGCCATGATGTTACTTTCTCAGGGAATCTAAATCTATAGATCTTACAAGTAGAACTGTAGAATTAACAAGTATGAAACTAACTCATGCTCTTACAAGAGGTAAGAGTACTTTGAGAGGCTTTGAAGATCGGTAATCAAGTGCTGATGCCATAGTTGCAACAGCGTTTAATCCAGGTTCCCTCCCTTCAGAACCTAACAAAATGAAACGAAAAATAAAAGCAATGTGATTTTTATCAACATGAAAAAGAAACTAAAGCAAGCTAAACAGAAGCACATAACAAAATAATACTAATGAATGGTATTTGAACAAACAAGTCAAGTTTATTCAGAATGTATGAAAATTTATATACAGGCTCGCTGCTGTCCGCTGTTGTATTTGTAAGTGGTTATCCAGCAGCACTTCTATATGGAAGATTGAGAGTGAGCATACTATAGCCGTGGCACTTCATTATGTACACTGAAGATTTAATTACTATTATTTCAATTGGTTATTAAATAGGTGGTGATGCATGTTGTGGAATTCGGGTTAATTTCCACCAATAATAACAAATTCACCTTGAAAACTATTATCTAGGTGACTAGTGTGAAAATGATTGTACTAAAAATCACACCAAAGTAGATTCCCAGGAAAGAGGAGGGGTCACAATGGTCCCTCTTAAAACCCACTTTCCTTAGACAGAACTACCAAGACAAATAATTTTAATAGGACAATAACAACAACTATACCCGACAATAGCTATTAAATAGACATAAAGAGAACACCAAAATTTAACGAGGTTAGGCCAAAATTATGCATACCTCCTCGAACACTACTAAAATAATATTTCACTAGTAGAGGAAATATTACAAAGAGAAAGAAATAATACAAATAGCCTTTAATATAGAAGAAAACTTATATTTGTGGGATACTAAACTAAGGAGGAGGAGGGCTCTATTTATAATAAAAGAATTTTCCCTCCTCCTTATACAAAACCAATGTGGGATATTTGCCAAAAACCAACAAATTTCCACCTTGGAAAATTCCACACACGTCTCTAAAAAAATCCAATCTTCAGTAGTGTCTGCAAATTCATCTTTCAATTTGTAACAATATTGACCAAGTCAAAACAATGTTTAAACTTGACCGCAGTTACCACTTTTGTCAACATATCAGCAGGATTCTCAGTGGTCCGAATCTTCTGGATTATGACTCCACCTTCTTCGAGAATCTCTCGTACAAAGTGATATCAAACATCGATGTGCTTCGTCCTTGCATGGTAAACTTGGTTCTTTGCTAAATGAATAGCACTCTGACTGTCACAATGCACTTTGATGTGCTTTTGTTCCATTCCCAATTCACCAAACAACCCTTGAAGCCAAATTGCCTCATTCACAGCCTCTGTAACTGCCATATACTCTGCCTCTGTAGTAGACAAAGCCACTATTGACTGTAAGGTGGACTTCCAACTGACTGGTGCTTTTGTAAATGTAAACACATAACCAGTAGTTGATCGACGCTTGTCCAAATCACATGCATAGTCTGAATCACAATACCCAACTACACACTGACCATCTTGTTTGTCCTGCTGAAAGACCAAACCAACATCTACGGTGTTCAGAATATACCGCAGAATCCATTTCACGGCTTCCCAATGCTCCTTTCCAGGATCATGCATATACCTGCTCACAACCCCAACTGCCTGTGAAATATCGGGTCTCGTACACACCATTGCATACATTAAGCTACCAACATCACTTGCATACGGAACCTTTGACATGTATTCCCGTTCTGCATCATCCTTAGGTGACATGGATGCACCGAGCTTGAAATGAGGAGCAAAACGTGTACTAACTGGTTTTGACTTCTCATTCATGCCAAAACGTTTTAGTACCTTCCTCAGATATTCTTTCTGAGACAAACAAAGTCTCCCCAATTTTTATCCCTTGATATCTCCATGCCTAGAATCTTCTTTGCTTCACCAAGATCCTTCATCTCAAACTCCTTGTTCAATTGAGTCTTTAGTTTTGCAATTTCTGTCTGACTCCTGGAAGCTATCAGCATATCATCAACATAAAGAAGAAGATATATATAGGATCCGTCTTGTAGCTTGCATAAATACACACAATGATCATATTTGCTTATTGTGTACTTCTGTCCTATCATAAACTTGTCAAATCGCTTGTACCACTGCCTTGGAGATTGCTTCAATCCGTATAGTGATTTTTCTAATTTGCACATCATCTCTTCTTTTTCAGCAACTTTGAATCCATCTGGCTGAGTCATGTTGATTTCCTCATCCAAGTCTCCATGTAAAAATGCAGTTTTTACATCCATCTGAACTAGTTCCAAATCTAACTGTGCTACCAAAGCCAACAAAATTCTGATGGAGGAATGTTTTACAATGGAGAAAATACTTCATTATAATCAACTCCCTCCGTTTGAGCGTAGCCTTTAGCCACCAATCTTGCTTTGTAGCGGATGTTATTCTTGTCAGGAAATCCATTGTTCTTTGCATATACCCACTTGCACCCAATTGCCTTCTTTCCCTTCGGAAGACTAGCTAGTTTCCAAGTCTGATTCTTTTGAAGGGATTGCATTTCTTCATTCATGGCGATCCTCCACTTTTTATGTTCTGAACTTTGGACTGCTTCATTAAAAGTGGCAGGAACGTCATCAATTGCAATTGGTGATGCAAAAGAGACCATATCAGCATAACGAGCAGGTTGTCTAATGGTCCTCTTTCCCTTTCTGAGTGCAATTGATTCATGTTGCTGTGAAGGTTCTTGGGTCTGAACTTCTTCTTTATCTGACTCTTCTTCTACCATAGGAGAGTCAACATCAGTTTCTTTACTGGCTGAGTCAATTCTGCTTCCTTCAAACTCCACCTGTTTGGGAGTTCCATCTGTCTGCTCTAATTTTTCTGAAGTCACCTTTCTCAACATGGTAGATTCATCAAAGGTAACATCTCTACTGAAGATTATTTTCTTTGTTTCTGGACACCAAAGACGATAGCCTTTCACACCAGAGGTGATCCCCATAAAGATCGCCTTCTTTGCTCTTGGATCCAGCTTTGACTCCTTAACATGGTAGTATGCAGTGGAACCAAACACATGTAAGGAATCATAATCTGTAGCAGGTTCTCCAAACCATTTCTCTAATGGTGTTTTACCACCAATAGCAGTCGATGGTAAGCGGTTGACAAGATGACAAGCATAGAACAAAGCCTCAGCCCAAAATTCTTTGCCTAACCCAGCATTAGACAACATACACCGAACCTTCTCCACTAATGTCGGTTCATACGCTCTGCCACCCCATTCTGTTGTGGTGTACTTCTGACAGTGAAGTGCCTGACAATACCTTCTTCTTCACAGACTTTCAGAAATGGATCATTTTTGTACTCTCCACCATTGTCTGTACGGAGACGTTTGATTTTTCTACCTGTTTGAGTCTCCACCATCTTTTTCCATTTAAGGAAAATCCCTAGCACCTCATGCTTTTCTTCATTGTATACACCCAAACTCTCCGGGAAAAATCATCAACAAATGTGACATAATAGTGTGTTCCTCCCAATGAAGTTGTCTTGGAAGACCCCCATACATCTGAATGAACATAATCCAAAATACCTTTAGTATCATGGATTGTTGTTCCAAATTTCGCCCTCGTCTTCTTCCCTTTGATGCAATGCTCACAAAAAGCTAATTTGCAAGCCCGAGCACCATTCAATAATCCTTGATCTATCAGCAATTTCAAGGATTTTTCACCAACATGCCCCAAGCGCATATGCCATAACCTGGTTGCTTCTGACTCTGTTCATCAGTAGAAGCTGCCACTGCTGCTGTCCCAACAATTGTACTACCCAGAAAGTAATACACATTGTTTCTTTTCCGATTCCCTTCATTATCACCAGTGCACTAGAGATAATCCTCATAATCCCATATTTTCCCTCACTTCTAAACCTTTTGACTCTAAGGTTCACACAGAGATGAGATTTCTCATTAAATCTGGTACATAATGGACACCTGTTAAGGTTCTGATTGATCCATCCTGATTCCTCAAGCGAATTGAACTAATCCAAAGTGTGTCAAGAGGGGAATTATTTGCTGTGTAGACAATTCCACCTTTTAGTTCTTTAAAATTAAAGAACCATTCTCTATTGGGGGTCATATGGTGGCTACAAGCTGAATCTAACAGCCATGAATTAGAACAGCTGGTTGATGGCGTAGCAGCGAATGCAAAATCTGAATCTGCATCATCATACTCGACCACATTTGATTCTGAGACAGCCTTTCCCCTTTCAGCTTTGCCTTTGTTCTTTAGCCTGGGACATTCTTTCTTCTAGTGCCCTTTTTTCTCGACAAAAGGCATATTCATCTTTGCTCAATCTGGAGTTTGACTTCGATCTCCCTCTCATTCCTTTATTCTGACTCTTCGAACGGCCTCTAACAACAAGAGCTTCTGCTTCGACACTTGTGTTTTCTTGTTTGTCTTTCTTTCTCAATTCATAACTATACAAGGCAACAGTTACTTCACTGAGAGACACATCAACTTTCCCATGAAGTAGAGTAGTTTCAAGATACTCAAACTCATAAGGAAGTGATCCCATCAATATCAGAGCCAGATCTTCGTCTTCAAAAGTCATGTCCATATTCATCAGATCAGTCACCAGCTGATTAAAGCTAGTAATGTGATCATTCATAGTGGTACCTGGTACATAGTTGAAGCGGAACAATCTCTTTTTCATGTAGAGCTTGTTATGACCGCTTTTCTTCAAAAATTTCTCCTCCAGTGCCTTCCACAATTTACTTGCAGAAGTTTCCTTAGAAAATGCATACTTCTGCTCTCTAGAAAGACACGATTGAATAGTACCACATGTCAATCTATTGATCATCTTCCATTCTTTCTCCTCAACATCATCTAGTTTCTCTCCTTCAATAGCAGTGTCTAGACCCTGCTGAAATAGGGCATCTAGAACCTCACTTTGCCACATGCCGAAATGATCGGTGCTATAAAAAATCTCCACTGCAAATCTAACATTTGTCACAGCTGTTGATGACGATGTGGATGTTTTTGTTGCGTCTGTCATTTCTGCTACAAATTATATTTAATAGCTGTCAATGCGGAATGCCAATTATCCCAAGGAAATTTTTTCTGATGTGAAAGATCAGCCTAAGCCGCAACCACAGAGCATACTAAAATAAACCAAGAGTTCTGATACCAATTGTTGTGGAATTCGGGTTAATTTCCACCAATAATAACAAATTCACCTTGAAAACTATTATGTAGGTGACTAGTGTGAAAATGATTGTACTAAAAATCACACCAAGGTAGATTCCTAGGAAAGAGGAGGGGTCACAATGGTCCCTCTTTAAACCCACTTTCCTTAGACAGAACTACCAAGACAAGTAATTTTAATAGGACAATAACAACAACTATTAAATAGACATAAAGAGAACACCAAAATTTAACTAGGTTAGGCCAAAATTATGCCTACCTCCTCGAACACTACTAAAATAATATTTCACTAGTAGAGGAAATATTACAAAGAGAAAGAAAGAATACAAATATCATTTAATATAGAAGAAGACTTATATTTGTGGAATGCTAAACTAAGGAGGAGGAGGACTCTATTTATAACAAAAGAATTTCCCCTCCTCCTTGTACAAAACCAATGTGGGATATTTGCCAAAAACCAACAAGCATAAAGAATTTGTACATCCCCAACAATAGAATTTGTTTCTTCTACTTCAATATAAACAATATTTTCTCCTATAAGATTTTCTAAGTGTAGTTCAACTAATTGAGGGATAACCAGATTTACCCTTATGATTAGAAGCACGAAAAAATCACAATATGGCAAAGTTTCAAATGATGATATCTTACCACACCGTGACAGCATTGCATAAAGCAATACACCTCCCATGGAGTGACCAATTGCAAGCGGTTTTCCGTCTTTAGGCTTTGTCTGTGCCCTTATGTATTCCATATATATGAAGGTGAATAAAAATTGTCAATTCAACCTAGAGAGAGATGTGACTAGTATGCAAAATGAAAAATAACAAACAAAATTAATACATTATAATTAATAAAATGAAAATTAGTGGGCATTTGCAAAATGTCACTTTACCGAAGCAGGAACATCCTCCTCCAGATAGTGATCAAAATCCAATCGTACTTCACAATCAGGTCAAGTTGTTTTTGGAAGTCTTCTATTGTTGAAGAAAGCCTCTCTTGAATATCAATGAACTGGGGTGAAACAGATCGTTGGACTCCCTCAATAATATTTACTAATCTTTGACTCAGATCTCTAATTTGGCTAGCAATACCTGAGTTCTGTTGTTCTTCCAATAAGTTGGAAAGCTTCATCCTTACCTCCTCAAAGCGTTCAGATAATTGAGAATCCACCAAAATTTTTTATATCTGATCTAATAATTTAGTCGAGATAAGTCTTGATTGACCTTTGCTGAGAAAGATTGAAAGTCCCTCAGACAAACGCATGAAAATTTCTGTCAACTCTGCAACCAATTTTGCTTCATCCCATGCCGTTCCAATTCCTATTGAATCTTCTCTAAGGAAATAAAATTCAGAATCAGATAAGTAACCAGAAACATCAGTTGGCTGCTTCTGAGGAGAAGCTCCATTTGCCACACTCTGAGCCATGGCTACCATCTGATCAGACAATACATCAGCATCCTTAATTTCTTTGAAGTTTGATGTCTGCTCACTCAGCCCAGCACCACGAAATTCAAGAATCCATGTGTCAAATCCTTGGCCAGACATATATCTCGCTAAAGAAGACTGCAGATGAATATCAAATTTATCAGGAAAGGGTCATGTTTATGAGTAAAAGAGAAGGAGATAATACTTAGCATCTTGGAAGCTATATGTAGAAGTTGGAAACATCATTGTTCATTTGACCATGAATATAGGCATTCACATAATGATGCCACAAAAGCGAGGCATATTATAAGGCACCCAACATGAGAACCTAGAATAGAAGATTTTGTTATGTAATTTATTCCATAAAACGTATAAGCTACGTTTGATGATTTTGACTAAACAAGGTTATCTGTGCGAATTGTCAAACACGTGCATATAAGTTTTCTAATGAAGTCAGCAGGTGATGACTGTTGGTGCAAGGATCCATATGGATTAAACTGTAAAGTATGAGTTCTCATTAAGCATGGGTAACAATATTTTCCTAATGGCTCATTGTGGATCAAACTCAGGCTTAGAAATTACAACATCTCCCAGGTAGTGCTATCATTTGGGTTAACAAAAGTGATGATTTACTATGTGATTATAATATTGGCCACTAATAACCTACAACATGGTAAACTAAATGGTCTTCCAGGGCTCATTAGATTTTGGTTTCTATGAAGCATCAAGAGGAATATAGAAAACCCCAAACTGAACAAGTTTGGATTTGTATTAATTACACGGTAAAGATAAAATGTCCATTGCTCGTGGCCAATCCATCAGCAAACACAGCTATTTTGTACTTAACAGTTTACAACCACATGAAGAAAGGTACCAAAACGTTTCAATGCTTGTTAACAAAAAAAAATGAATAGTACCCAACTTTTTTCTCCATACTGTTGTGTGTGTCTGTGTGTGTGTGTGTTTTTTTGGGGGGGGGGGTATGTTCTATTTCAAAGCAATAACAACATAAGGTTGTTGAAGGAAATTAGCATAAAATTAAAGGGGGGGGGGGTTATGTTCTATTTCAAAGCAATAACAACATAAGGTTGTTGAAGGAAATTAGCATAAAATTAAAAGTAAAACGGATTTTACCTCGGGAGAAAGATCATATCCAATGGCATTAGTCCCCAGGCCAGATAATAATAACAGAGGGTGATTTCTCGGGGGCGCCTATTAAAAAGGAAATCATTTCATCTATCCATAAGTAAGAAGAATTGGGCAACAAAAGATAAGTTCGTATTTCAAAAATAGTTAAAATTGAACATATGAATGTACTATTCATGATTAAATCACAAATGCATTGTATGCCGGATGACTATTTAGGGTGAATTTAGTTCACGGAATGTAAGATTACCGACAGAAATATGATTACCGACGGGAATAAGATTACTGGGAATGTTGTATTTTGTGTTTGGTTTGTTTAGCATGAATATAAGATTACAGTGTTTGGTTAAAAGAATAAAAGATTATTAGAATGTATATTTTACCAAATTTTCCTTATTATATATTTGTTTTTTTGAACAAATTGAATTATACTATAATATTACTATAGTTAATTTATTATATATTTTCTTTAAAAATTTTAAATTCATAAAATTTATATAATTTTTTTACAAAATTGAAAAGATAAATATGTTTAATGAAAGGGTAAAATTTTATTTTAACCCCTGAACTTTATATAAAATTCTAATTATGGACTTTTTTTGTAAATCTAAAATAGTTAAAGGATAAATTTGCAATTCGTAGAATTTTTTTTATTCAACGACAGAAGAATGATATTTTTGGGAAAAAAATAAGGGTATTTTAGTCCAAAATGACGGGAATGTAACAATACCTAAGGGAATGGGTAATCACATTCCCGGTAATATACCCCTAAAATACCACTATTGGGAATAACTTATTATCGGAGGCTGGGAATGTTTGCCAACCAAATAGGGGAATGACATTCCATTCCCCTGGTAATGTGAGATACCCTGAACCAAACGCATCCTTAGTAATTGAAATTCATGTTTTTAATGGACCCCGATGAGTGGGCCCCATGTGAAGCATTAATTTAAAGTAATTAAAAGGATTCATCACATCAAGATGACGAGTCCATTTAAAAATTTATTTTTTAAAAAAAGAATAAAAAAATTAATTTTAAAAAAAATAAAAAATAAGACGAGTTCCTTCGAATTCAAAAACAAATAGACGTTTATAGCCGTTGGTCAACAGGCAAGAGCAACGGTCACTAGACAATGGTTAACATGAAATTCGTCACCTCGATGTGACGAGTTCTGACAAATTTTTGAATTTACTAGCCTTTTATAGCCGTTGGGATTGGGGTTATAAATAGAGGTTTAGGGTTTAGCTTTTTACCATCCATTGTTACGAAAAAAAATTGAAAAAAAAACTTACTTTTTGGAGAAATCCCGAAAAATAACTTCCCAAGAAGAAATGTTACGCCTCGATAATATCATATTTCGTTGATCGAACTCTTTCCGAAAGAAGAACGGAGCATTCGTCAGCGCGAAATGACATCTAAAGATCCATATCAGCAGATGATGATATATCTTCAGCAATCTGACTATATCTAACCATATTTGTGTGTGGCTTTAAGGTTTTTGGCTCTGATTGAATGTTGGGGGCTCGAGACACACACTTTCTATTTCCCGAGTGGTGAAGCGACGATTACTTTGGACGTCGCTTACCAACTCGGTGTTCATGTGAATGGAGCCGCCATTGTGAGGCGGAATGATTACAACCCCATGTGTATTGTCTACGAAGTCTTGGGAAGGTTGCCACCATCCGAGGTCTTAGACGGGTATCAGATACAAATGACGTGGTTGGAGTCCGAATTTCAAGTGACAAATGACTTTATCGAGGAGGAGGTTATTTTTGCATCACCATCATATCTTCTCCAACTGATCGAAGAAGTATTATTACCAGATAAATCCGATAATTTGGTACACACTCAGTATCTGCCTATATTAAATAATTTCACTAAGTGTTGTAATAGCAGTTAGGGCTCGACAATTTTAGCATTTTTGTACCGAAAGCTTTGTAAGGTTGTTATCGTCGAAAGGGGCCAAAAAGTCAATGTAGTAGACTGTCTAATATTGCTACAATCCTGAACTTGGTATCCATTTTCATTTTTTATTCCAATTACATCAGCCCCGATGAAGTTTTCTCTGGGTGCAAGGTAATTTTTTAATTTATTTTTAATATATTTGTTATATGTTTTTAATCTTTTTTATTTTTATATTTTTTAGATGACTCCATAAAGTAAGCGAGATGAAGTTGTCGGGTGCTGTTGAAAAGGTATACGGATGAGGAACGATATCGCATGTCGACATGCGTTAAATATTAGTTCTTTTATTATTATTTTTTTTAAAATTGTTTAACTTTATATATACTAACTTTTATAAATTAATATTTACAGTTTTCTTGGTTTTTGTATTGTGACAAAGAGATCTATCGGGTATTGCTAACAGGGATTTTTTGATAGGTTCGATTTATGATGTGTCGTGATGCATGTATTATATTTTACGATAGTTGAGATGTACGATGGTAATAGAGTGTTGCGACAATTTGCGTCTCATCAACTGATTTCTACGCAAATATTGAGATATGGACGCGCACCACAAAATTGATACACGTGGGAAACATACCGAAAACTGGTCGAGGAAGCACACTTACTACATTGAGCAATGGAATCAACATAATCTATTGCCCCCGGCGTTACGAGATTACCCCGATCAACCTAGATTTCGACCATTCTCCTCATTTTTGAAATTACGAAACAAATGAGAAATCATATCTCATGACACCAGAACAGAGGGGAGAATGAGAACAGCACGAGGCCAGATTTGCCAAGTCAAAGAAATCATCGTCATCTTCTTATGCTTCTGCATCTACATCACAAGATTACTATTATATATCTCATGCTAGTTTTGGTTTCTATCCTCTATATCATACTAAAACCGAGACTCAGCCGACTTGAGTTGGAGGTTCATGGGATGCACTGCAACACACTCAAGCATCTTCGACATGTGAATGGGATCATATCATATATGATCAACAACGTAGCCAAGTCGAATCATTAACGCCAATGATACATCAAATACCATAAGTCTATCACCATATTTCAAAGGTATATCTCAGAGTGTGTTAAGTACACCTCCTTTTGAACAACCAAATGAAGATGAAGACGACGACGATGATCAAGACCGACCACCCCGGCGTACTAGACGAGCCCCGTGCAATTATCATTCGACCACTCCTCGGCATCGTCAAGAACTTAGAAAATATAAATAAATTTTATTATGTACTAGTTTGTAAACATTTTTTTAATAAAATTACTAATTTACTTTTAATTTTTTTTAAATTTAATTCGGAGAATTTGTCACTTCCATGTTGATCGTTGTTATTGCCTATTAACCAATGGCTATAAAAAGCTTTTTTTTTTTAATTCAAAGGAACACGTCATCTCGAGGTGACGAGTTCTATTAATTTTTTTTACTTTCAAAATTAAATTATTTTTATATTTTTTAAAAAAGTATATTTTTTTAAATAAACTCATCACCTTGAGATGAAGAGTATCACTAATTACATTAAATTAATTCTCCCACGTGGGTCCACTCATCGGAGTTTAGTAAAAAATTATATCCAATGAAGGTGACGAGTTTCAGCTACACTGTAGCAATTACCGTATTCTCCAAAATAAAAAATCGGATACCCTAATGGGTTAAATAAAATACATGTCGTGGTAACGTGCCAAAAAAAACCCAACTTTTGGCTTGGAACGGCAGGCCAGAGACAATCCATCATGGCCAAATTGGCCCATTACCGCTCCCGGGTAAATTATTTAGCCAATTAGGGCACCCAAACTTTTAATTTGGGATCTACGACAATTGCAACAGTCCCCATGGAACTCGTAACGCCGGCGTGACGAGTTCCATGAGATATTATTTTTTAATGGTCCGTGTCAGGTAGGCCCCACAACCTGATTAAAAAAATTCAAGAGGGACTCGTCACACTGACATGATGAGTCCCAATAAAAAATAATATTTTTGTTGTACTTTTTTAAAAGAAAATTAAAAAAAATTATGGGCACGACAAGTTTCAATGACTAATTTTTTGACCATTGGATTGAATGTTGTTCAACGATCGATTTTTTTTAATTTCAATGAACTTGTCACGCCGATGTGACGAGTTCCAATGGCTATTTTTAGTTTGAAAAAAAATAGCCGTTGGGTAGAGTAATATAAATAGAGGTTTAGGTTGGATATATTTTTCACTTATAATCAAATATTCTATTGAGAGCAAAAACTTTGTGTTGAAGAATTTTTGTTGAAATGACATCAAGCGATGAAATGTTATGTCTTGATGAAGTTCATATTTCGTCAATTGAGTTGAAAATGGCAAGTTTAATTTGTTTTATTTCATTTTAGTTTTGACAAAATTATAGTATTAATAATAATTATTTTATGTAATTGTATTAAATAATTTATTTTCAAATTGTAACAAGAAGAACGAACCATTCATCATCGAGGAATGATGAATGAAGAGACAAATCAACGGATGGTGATATATCTTTCACAATCCGAATTATATGGAGAGACGTTTCTTCGTAGATTTAAGGTGATGTCGGCATTGATATCATCGTTGATTGAACGATGGAGGCCCGAAACACATACGTTTCATTTACCTTGTGGTGAAGTGATGATAACTTTGGAAGATGTCGCGTACCAACTTGGCGTTCTGATTAATGGTATGCCATTGGTGCTTCGCAACACTTATAAGGTAAATAATGTTATTTCTAATTTATTAGGAAATGAGGCTCCAATCGATGTCATTGATGGGTTGTGGGTACGTATGACGTTGTTGGAAAGTGAATTTAGAGTAGATGAACAATTAACGGAGCAAGAGGTGATATATGCAGCTCGAGCATATCTTTTGACGTTGATTGGAGGGATCTTGCTACCGGATAAATCGGACAATTTTGTGCACACCCAATATTTTTCGGTAATGGAGGATTTCGTTGTATGTCGCCAATATAGCTGAGGTTCTGCAATTTTGGCGTTTTTGTATCGTGAATATGTAAGGCGACCGTAGTCGTGAGAGGAAAAAAAGTGGATGTAGCGGGTTGTTTAGTTTTGCTCCAATTATGGGTGTAGTATCGTCTCCTTTTCATGACGCCTATTATATCGGCTCCTATGGAGTTTCCTCTCACCGCAAGGTAAATTTATATATTTAAAGTTTTAATATTTTATAATATTTATTTAAATATTTTGAAAATGACAA